TAGTTTTCCTAATGTGTGGGGGGGGTGTAAAAGAGGGAAGGAAGGAGGGAGAGAAGAGGGAGTTTAAAATCACTTGGAAAATTACTGAGCAGTTTTGAAATAACATGATCATGAGTCCATTAAAAAATATGGTTAAGGAACAAGTGAAATCAAATTGATTATTAGGAAAATAGAATGATAAATATGAATCTTGTCATTTTTGTTTTCCCATTAAGCTTTTAATAAGATTAAGAAACTTTCTGGATAATAACAAGTCTTACATGCTATGAAGGAGCAGGTCTTATTTACCTGTTATTATAGTCAGAGCTCCAGAGCCAGGCAAGAATCTAATGTGTGGTAGGAAACAAGTTAGATAGCCAATGAGTAACATTATTTTGGCTCAGTAATGGAAAATATCTTAAAGTATTCCAGAGGACTTCATGGACTTCTCTCCTTCTGGTATCTGAAGGTTATGTAATTTATTTTGCACTACAGAGATTTCCATATGCATGCTAAAACACCTAATGAATTAGTTTGACTTTGCTCTTAGTACCCCAATCCCCATTAAAGAAAGGTAAGTCCCTGGCGTTTTTGACTTGCCCTTGTTTTGACTTCAGTTTGTTTTTGCATTGACTCTGCATTTTTCTGTCATTACTAACATATGAGTTGCAATTCCTTTCAAGTAAAAAAATCATCAAATGCTATTCATATAATTGTTCCTATTTGTTTATAAGCCTGGTTAAATTTGATCATTTGAAATTTTTATTTATATGTATATTTATTTATTTTTTGGTACTTGGGATTGAATTTAGGACTTTATGCTTATTGTTAATAATCTAACAGAAGTGAATAATGGTGAAACAAAGACTCAAACGTTAGTTTGATAATAATGAATGTGGTTTTTTAAATGAGTGTAGTTCCTAGGGTGTGAAATCTGAATCTTTGTCATTTACTATAAATTCCTCATATAAATTTTAATTTTGATTCTTCCTTTACAGCTCAATTACAGCTTAATTTTTTTTTTTAAAAAAAAGAAACTTTGGGGCTATATTTTGTCAGACTTCTTATATCTAAAAATTACTTCCATTGCCATTAAACACATCACAGAAGATTTTTCTTCACAGCTCCAGTGACATGTTATTGTCTTCTGTAATATTGTATTATAGATAAATCTGAATCCAGTCCAATCTTACTTCCTTTGAAGGTAATTTGTCTTTTTTTTCTGACTATTATGTATTCTTTGTACTAGTTCTCGCAGTTCAAAAAATTTGCTAAGATACACCTAGACATAATTTCTTTTCATTGGTTTTATGTGGATCATGTTTAACTATTTTGAGCAGCAAACTAAAAAAAATTTTATTCAGCTCAAAAGCAAATCCTTCAGTTATATCAGACTTAATTCCTATTGTTTTGATTTTTTTTGGGCTTGTTTTAGAAAATAGAATTATTTTCTGGGTTCTTTATTATTTTCTCCTATGAATTTTATCTATGCTCTGTTCCTTCAGATTCTCAGAGCAATTTTCATATTTGCCTTCAATATTAATGCTGCTTTCTGAATAATCAATTCAGTTGTTTACTGACTTCATAGAGATTTTATTACTGCTATTACAGTTGTAAATTTTCTTACATGATTCATAATTTCACACCTATATTTTATCTCAGTGTGATTGTCTTTATGGCTTTCTGTATCTGTTTCTTAGAAACTATGGCTAATAGCCTTTTGAGTATGCTAAATAGCTAAGAAGTGTTTCTTACTAGTACCTATAGGGAATTACTTTCATAGTGCTTTAGAAACAATCAGGCTGATGTTTCTTTTTCCTTGTCAAATAATCTTTATTTTTTAGGCTCTTATTTTTTCTTTTCTTTTTGCTTAAGGACAGGTTGATCTTGAATCAGCGTCAACAAAGGATTTGGATTGTCCTATTTCTCTGCTTTGTTCATTTGGGAGCTAATTTAAATTATTTTTCTTTTGTTCAACTGTAGAGTGAGTTACTTGCATATAACCTATGATGTATGCCTGTTGTTAAGTCTGTCATCTAGTATAGTTCTGTAGGACAAAGATGGGGTCTTGTATTGCTTCTTATCATTGGTTCACTCTTTGGCTTTCTGATGACATTATAAGAAAGCTTATGGTTCTCAATATGTGCTAGTTGGATCAATTTTCTTGTTTATTTTCTTAGTTTATAAAACTTTATATAAGAGAAATACACCTCTCATGTTATCATGTACCTTTGCCAGAAGCACCCACCTCTCTTCTCATAAATACATATATACAAATATATATTTTTGGCAGTTACTGTTTTATTTTGAATGTAGAAATATGGAAAGAAGGAAGTCAAGAAGTCATATCTATGGAATAGGAAACTATTACCCAGCTTTATAAGTTATAATAATCTTTGTATTTCTGAGTTAATTGGTAGAGTTGGACCATAGGGAAGGGTAAGGCATTTTCCCTTCCATAATTGTTCACATGTACAACATTGAGGTTTTTATTTTTACTGTATGGTATATTATTATTTGTATCTATCTTTTTATCTAAAATCCTTTGTTTACTAATTAGAGATTCTTAGATTCTGACTATCACTTGTTAGTCTAAATTATTAATAGACAACACTTACTAGGTACATCTTTCTCTTTTTTTTTGTACTGGGAATCAAACTCAGGACTTTGTGCTTGTCAGGCAGGCACGATGCCATTGAGCTACATGCCCAGCCCAACACTTGCTAGGTACATCTTATGTGTCAATGATGATATAGATGTTTTAAATGTATTAACTCATTTAAATTTATACGTACCCTTTTGTAAAGTATACTAATTATTACCATTTTATAGATGGGGAAAATGGGGTATATAGAAGTTGGATACTTTATGTAAGAGTACCTAGCTCAATATGTGGCACAATCAGGATTGGAACCCAGGAAATTTGTATTTTTACATAGTGCAAATTTTTATTACCCCTCCACCACCACTTTTGCCATAGGCCAGCCTTTCCTCCCTTCCTACTTTCGTTTATGACTCCTACATGAAGGAATATACCCAGGGACTACTAGTAACAAGAAAAAAATGATAACCTTTAAATATGATCTTTTTTTAGTTTTAGAATGGAGCATATAAAAAAATATGTGTGTGTGTGTGTGTGTATATATATATATTACCCCTCCACCACCACTTTTGCCATAGGCCAGCCTTTCCTCCCTTCCTACTTTCGTTTATGACTCCTACATGAAGGAATATACCCAGGGACTACTAGTAACAAGAAAAAAATGATAACCTTTAAATATGATCTTTTTTTAGTTTTAGAATGGAGCATATAAAAAAATATGTGTGTGTGTGTGTGTGTATATATATATATAGAGACAGATTTTTAAACTTTAAAAGAATGGATTTATTTGCATCACAAGTATATTAAACAGAAGTTAATTTGTTCTTTGTAGATTTTGGTTACTGTCTTTAGGTGAACATTGGACTATGGCAAATCTAACCCTTTTCTGTAATCCTTCCTAAGCATCTGTCTTAAACTACAGAATTACCTGATCATTAGGAAGAATTATATTCATTATATTTGTACAGCCCAATACAGAGGCCACTAAATATGGGGCTACTGAGTGCCTAAAATGTGTCTGGATTGAGATATAACATATGTATATAATATACTAGGGGTATCACAGGCTTAGTATTAAAAAAAGTAAAATTTCTTTTAATTATTTTTTACATGTTGAAATGACTGGATTAAAGAATGTATTAAATCAGTTTTGTTTTTATACTTTCATAATATGTCTAATAGATTATTAGAATTTATTTACGTGCCTCCTGTTGTTTCCTAGAAGTGATAATATATGTAGTTCTTCTCTGGGAGTCTGGCATGGAAGAGGACTGACCGGCAGTTAAAGTGAGATAGGCGCTCATGCATTGGAGATACCTAAGTCAGTAGCATAGGCCTGCAAAAGGTACCCTGTAAAGTAATGCTAGTACCTCATTTTTTCATTCTTTTTACCTCCTTTTGAGGACTCTTAAGTCTGCTTTTGGTTGGAAGGAAATTTTAAAAAAGACTCTTACAGAAATCGCCAGAGAGGGAGGAATCTAGCTAAAACAATGTGATTAAAGAAGCAGTAAGTATAGACAGTGTCAAATGTGCTAAGAGTTTACAAATAAGACTATTGTCTTTAATAAACGTGAGATAGCTGGTTCCATAGGAGGGATTGGATTAGATGATGAAGTCAGATTGCAGAAGGTTGAGGAATTAATAGGAAGAAAATAATTCAAGACAGAAAACTTACTGTGTGGCAGAGAAAGTGGTAAGGTGACAAAGGAAGGCTTTTTATAGCCGTTGGAGAATGTGTATTTAGCATATAACAACTTGCAGTGTATGTGTGTGTATATTTTCTGAGTTTTAATTCTCATAGAAAATTGTTTCTATATTTGTATTCTTGGAATACACTATAGCATCCTTCACAAGTTAACTACCCAATAACAGTTTGCTTTTTAGTTTAATACTTTTTTAAAAACAAGATTCTTTGTTAATATCATTTCCAAATACTCTAAGCATTAAGTCTACATAAGGGCTTAATGTTTTCTCAGTTTAAATGCAGTATGGCCTATTAGCATGGCTCATAATGGTAAGGGAATGAATGAATAGACTTTGGAGTCTACTACAATTATAATTTAAATTCAGACTGTGGCATTTTCATTTTGTTGTCTTGAGCACTTAGCATTTTCTCGTCACTGAAATGAATATATAATACCTCCTTATTTTGGGGCTTTTTATGGATTCATTGTGAAAACATAGCTTTTTGTATACATTTAAAGATATTTTGATATTGAAGTAGGTACTCAGTAAATACTTCTGAATAAATAGCAGTTTCACTTGTCATACATGCCACCAGTAGGTTTTATAATTTAATTTAAAGGAGCATATGTAATACAATATCATATCTTTAAGAACAGGCATATCAGCTAAAACTTGAATGAAAAATTGGCCTTTGAATTAAAAAAAATGTTTTTGTTTCTCCTCCTTAATCCAGGTCCTGAGGGAGTCTAACAAATTAGCAGAAATGGAAGAACCACCTTTGCTTCCAGGAGAAAATATTAAAGACATGGGTCTGTAATGGTATTTTTTGTTTAATTTCCTACATTCTTTCTGTGCAGACTATTCAATACTCTGAGCATACATAGAATAAACTGGTGGTCAGAGGTACCACTTGTTTGGTAGCACTTATTTACTGTAGCCTTCTAACCTTTAGTATGTGCTACAAGGCTAGGCCCACACATTTTGGTAGTATATCTGTGCTACTGGGAGATATGCACATTGAATTTTATTCTGTCTCTTCTCTGGTTTTTGAAATTTTCTTTGAAAGTAAGTGACTTTGTTTTTTAAACTGTTACTGAATTCTGTGAAGGAAATTTTTATTTTACTACGTTCATATATTTTTGTTGCCCAGATAAAAACATAAAATGCTCACTGTTTGGCCATACTGCAGATCAAATCCAGGGTCTTTACACTGAATTACATTCCCAGACCTTTTATTTTTTGACAGAGTCTTTCTCAGTTGCTGAGTTGCACAGGCTGGGCTCAAATTTGTGATCTCCTATCTTAACCTCCCAGCAAGTCTCCCAGAGTGCTGGGATAACAGGCATGCACTGCTACTCCTGGCTTAATTGTCACTTTATACAAATAATCTAAACACATGCACTTCTTTGCCTCTTTTATGGTTTTATAGCAATAAACTCAGGTCAATTTTTAGATGAAAGTACTTCATTCAAAGAAGCATTGGAAAACTAGGCATTTATATGTGAATTCCTTTCTCTATCTCACCTAATACTTTAAAATGAACTAGAAACTGAAAATGTGCGTATGAAATTATTTTTCTCATATTTTTGCTTTGTTGTGATAATCTACAAAATAATAATACATTTTGAGAAATAGTATGTTAGAAGAGTGAAGTAATTGGTTTTTAGCCAAAGTAGATAGCATCTTTCACTTATTATCAATCATAATTTTTTAAAAGGATATCATAAATTATTTTCTCTTGTTAAATGTCTTATGTAAAAAATTGAATAAGCAAAATGAGTGAACTACTCTGTAAACGGGTTGTTACTAATTACTAAATGTAACTTCTTAGGACATAGCATGGTATTCTCTTCCTGCTCTTGACAATAAATAACCTGTTCAGTTTTTTTTCCTTACTCATCCTTATGTGTATCCTGGTCTTCAATCTGTTTAAATACTTGCTGAGTTAGATATATGTATATTATTATATAGTGACATATGTAATAATTGTAGTTATTTGTATGTAGCTATGATAGTTATTACATTGTGCTTACTATCTCATTTAGTCATTCTCAGGTAATATTCTAAGAAAGAAATTAGCCCTGTTAGGTAGATAGGAAACTAAAGCATATGGCTATTACCTAGCTAACCAGTTATGTCTAGTATTGTGACATTTTCTCTTTTACTATTCTGAACTTAATATGCTTCCGCTGTGATAGGGCCTGATAAAAGCCTTTCAAGTTAGTACTTACATCTCTTTCATTAGCTCCTCTTCATTTAAGTATCAGCATTCCCTGGGACTTCATCCTTGACCCAGATACCTCTCTCTTATACACTCTTTTTTGTTGGTTTGTTTTTTTTTTGAGATAAGGTCTAACTATGTAGTTCAGGCTGGACTTGAATTCACTGTGTGGCCCAGATTGGTCTGAGAATCTCCTGTCTCATTCTTGCAAGTGCTGGGATTACGGGCATTATACCACCATGCTTGGCCTGTGATATGCCTTTTTAAATTGATTATGTTCAAATTAGTGACTTCATGTACCATATATTGGTTGATGACTACAAAATTTGTATTTCTAGTTTGAGCCTCTGTTGTAATGGATGTGAGCAAATTACTGTATTGTAGACACAAGCTCTTGTCCAAATTTGATATAGCAGTACAATATATCTAGCTAGCATTTCCAGAACTAAAATCATCACCTTTACCTTTATCCCCAAATTTTCTCTTTTTCTTGCATTCTTTATCTTAGTTGATACTAGTGTCTCTGAGATGACATCAGTCTCAGTTGTCTATTCACTTAAGTCAGAAATCTAGTTGTCCTTTTTTGTTGCTCCTTTGTTCTGAACTGTTAATATCCAACCAACTGCCAGATCTAGAAGAGCTAATTGTAAAGGATTTCTTGAATTAATCTTCTCTTTTTCATAATCTTTGTATAATGTTTGTGTATATTGAATTTTAGGTACCTGTGAGAAACTTTAGAAATGGGGGATCAAACCCATGTCTGAGAACACCCTCTACCATTGAGCTCCTCTTACTGGAAATATAGTGGTACCTCAGTTCACGGATTCCTTTCCATGATTCTGATTGCAAACTGAATTGTACTATTTCCCCGTAAGATCAACATTGAACCTAACCATTGAATTTGATTTAGCTGTCATCCAATTCAATTTGTGACCAGAATTATGGAAAGAATTAACTATGAACTGAGGTATCACTGTATCTAATAAAGACATATTTAGACTTGAGGTTCATACTTAAGAATCACCATCATATGGGTATTAATTAAAAACAGGAGAAAGAAAATAACTCAGAAAGTGGGTGGAATGAGAAGAGGGCCTAGAGCATAGCTTTGATGAACACTTAACACTTTATAGTTATAAGGCCTCTAAAGAGGAAAAGTGAGGAGTGGAAAGTGTGTAGTATAAGATAAACTGGGTACAGCCAGACTGGATACTTTTCCTTTGTCAGAATATATACTTTACTTTCCAAAATCTGTAATTTGGATTAAGTTCTTTTTGCATTAGTGCTTTGTCAACATCTCTGCTTATCTAAAGGATAACTGCTATTGAGAAAAATCTCCCATGCCTATGTTCCTTGAACTTTTCTCTGATCTTTGGCTGAATAGACTTTTCCATCTTTGTACCCTTTGAAGATGCTTTTTTTTTCCTTGTAAGATCACATGCTTTTGTGTATAAATTTGCCTATATGTATTATGTTTCTCGTGATGTACATTTCTCCTGGTCATTTTTGGTGTACCACAGGAAAAGCTATTAGTTATTCTTCCTCTGTGATCTGAGTGAAGCTGAGAGGATCCGTAAATCTGATTTGTTTTGATACCATTAGTATTGCAAAATTTAGAATAATATAATTTTAAATTGTCTAATTTATAATCGTCTGTACAGACTTAATTATTGTGCAGAAATTGAATTTAGCAGCAAAAAAATTAGGATTAAACTTTGATATCTTCATAGAAAAAGTTCTTGGATTTTAAGTTTGCTTAATATAAATCTGTGGTTTAGATTTCTCAGAAGAAAGTCAAAGTCACATTAGGAACATGGCGGAAAATCTTAGGAAATAGAGTGTGTCGTGGCCTGGCCACCTCAGTAACAGACGTATTTCCAGTTTGCTGCAATTCAACCTTTAATTCAGGAAATAGATGTTAAACAGACTGCTGTTAGTGGTTTAGCCTTGCCATCTGACGGTTCATGTAAAGAGGTTTAGGTTTTTGGTTGGAGGAACTGGGTCAAAGCCTTCATCCTAACACTGATTCTGAAACATTAGACAATTTCACTTTTCTGTACTCTGATTTTCTTACCTAAAATTGTAGGTAAATGTATTCTTACATTTAAGAGTTGTGAAGGCTGAGGTACTAGGATGAAAAGTACATCATAAACTTGTGCTTGGTCCCTTGTACTAATTGTTACTGTCATTTGCTGTGGTAAGGAATTTAGTCACTAGAATCTCTCTTCTATTTGGGGCAAACTGGCTGAGCATCTCTCATGAGAGTGACTTAGCCTTTGAGGAATGAGAGAACAGAGCAGAAACTAATGATGACAGCAATGTAGGTACGAACCCTTGTATTTGTACAGCACTTTCAATTTTAGAAGTAATTTTTGTGTATATTATTTCATGATAATAGAATAAAGAAAAGTACAAACACACTGGAAAAAGAAGGGTAAATCCTGAGAAGGGTTATAGGATAATAAAACTGATTTTTCTTGCATTAGTAAAAAACTGGCTCTAGATGGAATCCAGAAATGTTTTTAGAATGTTGAATAAAGCTTTCCTAGTTGAGGTAAAAGTTCATAAACACAAAAGAAGAATATATGTGTAAGAAAGCCTGTATAAAGATACAATGATGAGTTTATTTAATTTTAAAAGCTTCCTTCTAAGTGACACATGCATTGGAAACAGTGACTTAAACATGTATCTCATGGTTGCACGTTCCTGTGGGAACTATTTTGAATGTTAGAAGTGACTGTTAAATAATTAGTATCATTTCAAGTTCCATCCAGACCAGTCAGTCCTTTAAAGTGATGAATAAGGAGCAAGTCAGGAAATTTCAGTATTTTTCTAAATCTGTCATAGCTCTAAGTTTTCCCAGAAGTCTTGCAAGGTTCTTAGGAAGTTGTTGCTCCACATAATTGTACCTTCTTTCCTTGTAATGATAAAGATACTTCATATGCCGATTTGCCACAATAATAGGCTAGTAGAAATATTTTAAGATACAAAAAAACTTGTATTGATCTTTATAAACTCTACCATTTTAAAGAATATTTTGAGCTAGTGTTTGCTGAGTTATCCTGCCTAATCAATCAATGCATGTTTTAAAAAGCATAATACTATATAGATTCATTATTTATCATTACTAAAACATTACATGTGATGATTTCTCTACAGAGTTGGCTGGTCAGCAATGTAATATCCTCTTAGCATATTTTTAAAAGAAATTATGTTTTGTATATATTTTATTTTACATATTATAATTTCCCCAGAAATATAATTATATAAGAAGTTTCTAGCATTATATATGTTTTAAGTATTATATTTTTAAAGATATATTGACAGGCTGGACTGTGGCTGAGAAATAGGAGATATAGGTGATATAGAAACTGTGATAAGATGAACACTGACTTCCTTCAATCATATACTGTCATTCCCACTACCACCAGCCATCCTCTCTGCCCTTTTGTTCCAACCATTACACTTATTTTACCCAGTAGGGATAGTAATCATCTTTGTTTCCTTCTCTTGTTTTAGCCCTGTACCTCTTCAGTCATTCCCATTTATTATCCTTCCCCAGGTTAGTGCAGCATTGGAGGTTTGTAACAGGCCTGAAGTTCCTTGTAATCATTAATTCTGGTATTATTTAAAAAGCATAAATTAAAATAGCAATCAAAATAATTTTAAAAGATGCGGAGGCTATTTTTAATATATAAACATAGTATAAACGGTGGATGTTTTTACTTTTTCAGCCAAAGATGTAACTTACATATGTCCATTTACTGGTGCTGTACGAGGAACACTGACTGTCACGAATTACAGGTTGTATTTCAAAAGCATGGAACGGGTAAGACTTGATGGATTAAATATTTTGTATATATGTGATGTTATTTACAACTGGTTTTGTTCACTTGTGATTTTTTTTTTTTTTTTTTTTTTTTGT